TTCTTGGTTCACAGTGCACCTACATGCAACCGCAACTTGAGTTTGTGGCAGGGTAGTCTGAATGGAGGTGTCTGGGCCATGAAAGATCACCAGGGCCAAGGGCTCATTCGACACAATTCGACCTGAACGCAGATAGGGCTCCGCCTCTGCCATGGTCATCAAAACAAAGCCACTTGAAACTGGTCCTATTTGTTGCACAGTCAGCTGAGCCATGGGTAGGCCCTGATGCATAAACATCCCGGGCATGACCTGGAGCTTGGTGGGATCAAGAGAGACCTCAGCAGGAACTTGCGGAACCCTGGGCATCTTTGGCATATTCTGTTTCTTGGTCACCTCTTGTTGCTTCGTGTTGGCAATGTTGGCAGCCAACTCATCAGCCTGCACAAGTTGCAACTTGACCTGGTTCGCAAGCATTTTCAACTGACGCCATGTTTGTTTGCCAGCAAGTGCACGCTGAATCGGCTCACTCCCTATCTGCTTGACAACATGTTGCGCTCTTTGCTCGACCCGATCTGCAGGGACACCTCTCTTCGTCAGTTCAAAGGCAAGATCACTGACAACTTTCGAGGGTCCAAAACCCCAGACAGCTGGGCATCTACATGTGCTGTCACAGTAAACTGCCGCAACAAAGCCTGCTCGCAAATCATTGTGAAGGTGACGCAAGTCATCAACTGAATCAGGAAGGGGAGATCCCAAAACCACGTGTTGCAAAAAACTAACAGCCATTACCCCACAGTAGTGATGGTCAGAGAGCCAGGGTGTGATGAAATGCAGCACCAGGGACTCAAAACCAAGGCTACTACGGATCACATCAATGACTGGGCGAAGCTGAGCATCAAAGGAAACATCATGATGAAGCAGGTGGCATTGCAAGGTGGGACCATTGGGAACAAGCCAGATGGGAATCCAATGCTGGTCAACACAAAACGCGGAGATGATGTTGAACTTGGTTGTCCACAAGTGGGCATTCGTTCTGATCCAACTCTCTGCCAATTGCAAACCAACAGAGTCCCACACGGTATACAACAGAGGTTCCATGAGCACAAATCGGATACCATCACGCGATGCATGTGGGACCTGTTGCTGTTCCTTCAGGATTTCACACAGGTGGAAGCGCACCTCATCATCTGCAAGTGCTAAACCATGCTCTGCAATGAGATCAAGCCTGGCCTCACGAGACTGACACAAATGACCCACCGTGGCAGCCGATGTAGGTCCACTGTTGTGATGTGCATCTTCCGTACTCACAAGTGGCTGGGGTGAAAAGTCACCCGCTCCCCAAATCCATGGTCGCAGGGCAATGTTGCTCTCTTGCAGGGCAGCATGAAAGTGGTGATTCATTCCAGCATGAATGCCTTGTGTCTCAGCATGCGTTGATGGCAGCATAGTTCCCAACAAAACGTGATGGAGAAAACCAATCGCAAGGGCACCGCACAGGTTGGATGTGAAAAACATTCTGTGTTGACGGTGGATCACAGGGGCAGGAAATCCAAACCCTTGACTGAGTTTCTGGAAAACACAGTTCAGTTGGTCATGTGATTTGCAAGGTTCATCCCACGTGTGAAAAACCAAATTGTTTCCAACCACCGATATGTACACTGGTACCCAATGGCCATCAACCTGGAAGACCGACATGAGATCTGCCTTTCCAGTCGGTGTGTCAGGGTGGTTTGCAGCCCACTGAGCACATGAAGGGCCATCATCACGGATCCATCCTGAAGCAAGCAGGGGGTCAATCATGGACACAAGCCGGGGAGAGGCATGATGTCGAGACCTATGTTGAATAGCCATTCTTTGCAACTGAACCAAATGAAACCTGATCTCATCATCAGCAAGGTAAAAGCCTTGCTTGGCAGCAATTTGAATTCTGTCAGCGGTTTGGATGAACTGGCTTCGGAGCGAACACAACTGCCCCACATCACACACATGAGGAAGAGGGAGTTTCACAAACTGTTCATCAGACAAGGCTAACAGCGGTGCCGCAGAGATCCAAGACTGGTTGATCATTGGGCTTCCAACAAACATGGCATCAGACCTGGACTCGCCTACCGGGTGATGGTCAGCATTTGCCTGTTGCAGCTCGGGGATCGGAGGATTCCACAGAGCTGTTGGTGGGCACGGATCAATCTCAGTTGGCATCACTACATCTGATTGGCCACCTGGTGCAGCCCCTTCAAGGGCATCCGGCTGTCCAACGGGCATTATTGGGAGTGGCCCGCGTTCCCTTGGTTCACTCTGTGCTTCATGTGCAATGGGTGGCAACTGTACAATCAACTGTTGGCCTGGCTGAATGACATGCAGTGCATCAACCTCGTGACCATTCAAAGTGATGGGTCCAACAACAGGACGACCTGTCAATGCATTGTGGGCAGCAAGAAACTCAGCAACCTGAACTCCAGCAGGAGCAGTAAAAATTACCGGAGTCTCATCATGAACAAAGATTGCAATCTGACCTTCGGAGCATTGCAGGGCTGGGATTGCAGCACACGTCTGGTCAACCCTCACAGTTTCAAGCCAAGGTGTTGGCATGTCGACATCTTCCTCAGTGTCAGGCTCCTGAGGTGCTTGCTTCAATTCAGGCATTTTTGGAGTCATGCTACCGGCAGATCTCTTAATTACGTGGTCCAAGGTGGCAGCAAGGCTCATGGGGCCATCCCACAAGGGCTGCCAATCAGACAGATTCATCAATTCCCCAAGAGACCATTTGGAGAGTGGTTTCCAGTACGCAATCAAAGCAAGCAAATTGGAATCGGAAATGAGCTCAATCTCTCTTGGCCAGACCAATCCACTTCGCATGACAAGCCAGGACCTGTACGCCTCTAAGTGTGCCATCACCGAGTGAGTGACATGTCCAAATTGGAGTTTGTCAAGCTTTGCTGCAATTGCAGCAAAAATCCAAAGTGCTTGAAGCGGGCTGGCCAGCTGTCCAACTGCTGAAAGAGTCAATTTCACATTGGGTCCATAATCCAACACCGGGTCAACTCCATTCAAAATCATGGCTTCATTCGGATGAACATGGCGAATGGTGGATTCACCTGCAGCATTGTCAGCACTTCTCACAAGAAGTCCAAAAAGACCTTTTGTTTCAAGACGATGGGTGGATAACCCAGCACTCCTGCAGTCACATGGGCATGCTGTCAATTGCGACCCCCAGGCGTGGAGGGCACATGGGGCCGTCCCCTTGGTATTCATCAGATACTTAGGGTAGGACCCATCACAAACCCCAAACGCAATCTGTTCATCATGAGTCAAAGCCAACTTGTCTTCATCACCTTCAGCCCAAAGATGAATAAAGGGAATAAGATGGTCAATTGACGGAATGGTGGGTAACACAGGCCATGGATCGATCGGGATACATCCAATCACTGGTGACGATAAAATGCACCACCATCTCTCTCGGCGACATGGCCACACATCATCGAGCTTGAGGACTACCTGGGTACACACAAACCCTGTGACATCCTGGAAATGCTGCAATTCTTGTTGCACCCATTGGTTGGTTCCAGCAGGTGCCACGCACTCAAGGATTAAAATGAAACACTGGAGATAAAAAGCTGCTGACAACACGGATTGCAGGGACTTGGACCTAGCATCATCTTGGCCTCGGCGGTCGCCCAGTGATGAGAAGGGCTGGCAGCTGAAGCCAGCTGTGACTGTGTGCGCACCACCTCCATGCTTCCATACATCAAACAGCACATCAGTATTGCAAATATCCCCCGTCACACTAGGGATGGAGGACATCCTGGAGAACATGTCTGACATCTTCCCATTCACGTCATTACCAACCACACTCTGAAAGCCCATAGCCAACGCACCATGACCTAATGCACCCATGCCACTGCACAATTCGATCACCCTGTGCAGCGAATCCCATGATGGCGGAGAATGCTCCATGACTTTGGTGTCTTCATCCATCTCAAAGCATGGAGAAGGAAACTGTCGGGTGAACAAACAGCCTAAAATAGTAAAAAGGAAAGCACCCCCATCCAAAAAACCATTGTAGGCAAATCGAAGTCCACCTGGAATCATCGAAAGGACATGATGATCATGCGCAGAATCAAAAATCTCCATCTTGCACACCAAATTGCATCGAGAACCAACAGGAGTCTCACCGATGTCAAAAGGGAAAGTCCCAGAAACCATTGCCTTACACTACCGGCCCAACGTTCGGTGAAAACTACTGCACCCCTGGTAGGCACTTGGGCAATCGCAGCTGGGTTGAAACCACCAACCAGTTCATATATTTACATATAGTATTTGATGTGTGTATTTCTATATTTGTAAATATTCACAAATATTTTTAAGTATGAATACATAGTTTATTTATTCATCTCTATGATGTATGTGTTGATGCCTATTTATTTCTTCTCTTTGTTTGCATGTGAAATTGTTGATGTGCGTATGTTTAGTATTGTTGTTCAATTGAAACCTGTTTGGGATTGTTATGAGAGTGAATCTCTGACTCACTTTCTGCATATATATATATAATTATATTTATAATTATATTTATAATTATATTCATAATTATATATATAATTATATATATATATATATTTGATTATATATATATGATTATATATATACATATCATACCAAAACGGAATGTATATTTGGCTGCAGTTCACAGCACCAAGCTCAGTTCACTGCTTCCATGAAGAGTCCATTCTCAGTGGCATAGTGGCATATGTGACAGCACGGATATATCTGCTTATCTATAAGATAACAGATCGTATATATATATATATATATATAATATAATACTAAATACACATTCAATATTATTCATGTATGTACACATCTATGCATGTATGTACACATTTTCAAGTGAGGAAAATTGAGGAAAATGAATGAAATTTCTACATAATGTTCCAACCTTTCCATTTTTCATAGAATTGGATGATGGGAAAATTGGAACCGGAAAGCCCATCAAATTTGATGGTCAAAACCATGGTTTCCTGTAGATTTTCCCTTAAACCAACCCAGGCCATCCCGCACGACAGGTCAGAGAACAGCTCCTGGGAGCGACAGAGAAAAAGTGGGGAGACCGAAGACGGGCAGTGGACCAGTGGGACAGTTCTCCACAATGAATAAATGTTTATGAAGTATGTATAATAATATATAATAATATATATACATAGATGATATAAGAATACAATATATATATATATTATACATATACATAGATAGATGATATAAGAATACACTATATATATATATATGCATATATATATACACACATACAAAGTGGGCACCTTTAGTCACAAGCTGGTTTAGAAAGCCGACTCAAATGTAGATACAATATCACCACCGTAATATTTAGTTTGTATTTCTTGTGTTTTGTTGTACCTATAAACCAACTTAGCTATTTTTGGGGTCGAACATTGTATCGCTCTCAGTATTTATACATATATATATGTATACATGCATATAATATATATATATATATATATGATACATATGTAAGTTTGCACAAACATATAGTTTTCCCGGAATTCGGTTAAGGAAGCATCAAAACCGGATCCCCCAAAAATATGTACTGGGTAGAAAGCCATGGTTTCAGCCATAAAGTTGACCAGCAAAACCAATCATAGCCGTTGAAATATAATGGCTTCCAATTCCATGTTCACCCAATTTTTGTTGCGTCCAATCGATTTTCCAATTGGATGAACAATTCCAAATTAGGTGAACAATAGATTTTCCCAATAATTGTTGTTTTTCCCTCAAATTGTTCTCCCAATTCCAATAGATTTTCCCAAATCGAATGTGGGCCCCAGATGTTGGTTCCACAGGTCGCCCAAGGGAGTCTCCAACGAGGTGGTCTTGGGGAGAAGCCGATGGTTTTTGGGGCTGATGCTGAACTGCCAGATCCCCATGGATCCCCACGAAACGTGAGAAATTCTGCAAAAAAATGCATCTAGCGAACCAAGTTTCTCAGCGTTTATTATAGTTAACGTTTTAACGTTTTATAGTTCGATGTTCGATGCTCATTCGATGCTCCAGAGCCCCAAAGTACTGAGAAGCCGGTTTCGTCAGACACATAACATATACTTTCCCTGAGAAGCACTTGCTAGCCGTCCTGTTGCTGCCATAAATCATGGGGGATGAACATGAGAATAGTGAGATGGACCAAGGATGACCAAGGCGAACACGGTGAACACCACAAAAATGGTAGAAGTTAGAGATTTACTGATCATTTCATGTCTATGGATATCATCCAAGGTGTCCATGACTGAAGCCAACAGCCAACATGTTGGACAGCCTTCTTATCCATGTATCATATCTGCCCTGGAAGGTGGGGAAACCTAGTTGCCCCAACAAAACAACAGGACTTTTGCAAAACTCCGGTGCAGGTCTGTATCAAGATTGCTTTGAAATCTGCGACGACAGATCTTGGTTTCTACTACTCAACCAGTGGATTTTTGGTACAGAAAGACTGATGGCAGGTTTCAGAACTAGAATGAGTACTTTAAGTTTGCTATTAAATCATTGCTATTAAATGGAACGGGTTCGAATAAATGGAGAGTTCCAATGGTGCCCAGGTGTAGGATTGATCCATCAGCAGTCCCTTTCCATCCATAAAAAGCAGGGCAAAATGGGGTCGGACAGCTGACAAATGCCCACGACCTTTTTCCATTCAGTGAACTAACTACCAATGTCTTGGGAAGCCCCCCATTTTCCCATAACAGACTGAATTTTGCAAAGGAACAACCTGACTCGTATCAACTCCATTGATCTAGAGCGACGAGATCGTATCACCGGGCTCCCTGTATGGTTCAGAGCCACCACATGTTACCCGCATATACCCAAAAAAAGATATGAACCAAACATCGGTCAATCTACCAGAAATCATCGCTGATACTGTGCATGGAAGAAAGCCTGCACCAGTTGGTAGATGGTAAACATCACCTTTTAATATCTTTTAATCCCATTATACAGTGCCAGTGTTTCATAGTTACCATTAGGAATCCCAACTGGTGCAGGATTTCTTCAATCCTTTGGTATGTCACAACTGCATCATACCGGATCCAATGGAAAACCACAGGGAGCTCACGTGGCAGCTCCAAAATGGGTCAGGACGTGGCAGCTTTGGAGCAGCAACAGCAAAATTTGAAGGTACGACTCCTGGTGCACAGTGTGTATTGACACAAGCCTAATAGGTGTAACAGCGAGCACGATCTAGAGCTATTAGGACGGACTCAAAGTGTGTACCCTCTGGTAATTTAACGTAGCTATGGAAAATCACTATTGTTTATGGGAAAATCCACTATAAATGGTCATTTTCAATAGCTATGTTAAATTACCAGAGGGTATATATGGAGATTTTCCAAAATGGGTGATCCCCAAGTCACCATGGGTTTTGAATACGTTACTAAACTGAGTGAATTTTGGATGACTTGGGGTACCCCCATGACTTGGGAAAGGGGGAAGAGACTACATATTACACGTGCAAACACATGTCCATATGTCCCCTGGTTCCCTTGTTGCCAGGTTCAAGTGCAAGATCTGAGAAAAGAGGCACCTTTTAGTCATGCTGGAAGAGAGGTGTGTTTATTCAAGGATAACGGCTAAGACTAAGAATAGCCATGCTTAGTCACTTCCATGGGGTAAAGGATGATCAATCATGATAGTTTGAGGATGTTTGAGGCACAATGTCGTAATGTAGTAAACTTGATACGCCCAAGGATAGTTTTTTTTTCATGGACGGGACATGCATCATCCACAATCGGAGGTTTATTGTTGGCAATTTTCATAGGGACAATGATTATCAATCAAGACATTTTGGGGCACTGTTTTTTCAAACCCATGAAGGGTGCAGCCTCAGTTGACTTGTCCAAAAATAAGATTTGGACACAGGGTTTGGTCCACAGGATTTCCCAAAAAGGAATTAGGCGATTCAACAAGGGCTTTATTTGGGCCTCTAGATATGCGTTGCCAAAGCATTTATATGCAATTCAGAATATGTATTCTTTTTGACATACCCATATTGAGGGATGGTCATGCCCTCATCAATGTAGACAGATAGATATATATATATACTGTATATATAATTATATATATATACCCATTCCAAAGCATCCCAGTCATGATGTTTAAAGTATGCTAACATGACCATGCCCCGTTCATCCCATGGCACATCTGGGTCCGAAAATCAGCCGGGCAGAATGCCAGAAATCTACTGAATCATTGGGAACACAATTACTTCAATCCCCAAGGAACATATGTTTCCCAATCTACAAAACATATACATATAAATATGTACATATGTATATATATATATTTATACATATTATATGAACTATCGCCTGTTTTGAGGGGATGAAGATCCCAAAAAAGAACATCAAAGATGGTGCAGTGGCCGCCGCAGGTGGCTGCCGCAGAGGCTCAGAAGCTGGAGGCTGACGACAAGCGACGCTCAAGTTGGAGCTCAGCAATGAGTGGGATTTTTAGGTGATTTCATCGATTTGTTAATACATTGCTATAGTGGGAATTCATGTTTTTTTAAAGGGGATTTCAGGGGATTTGATGGCATTTCATGGAATGTATGATGGTTACCCTCTGGTTTCATGGAATGCATAGCTATGGAAAATGGCCGTTTATGATTTGTAAAACATCTATAAATGGACTTAAATGGTCCATTTTCAGTAGCAAACTATGAAATTACCAGAGAGTAAATACTGTTCACTCACATTTATACATACATACACATATATATATATACATAGATACATACATCGATACCATTCATATCTACATGCATCAGATCAATATTGTGTCTAGCTAGCCCTCCGTCTGTACCCCTAAACATTGGTAAAGGTACCAAAATGATGGGCCAAAACGCCAATTGTTACGGGTACAAACGGAGGGTACAAACGATGTAGCTTTACAATGTATGTCCAGCTGACCCCACAAATTGTGAGGCGACAGCTGCGCGAAAGCAACAGGCACAGGCTTGATGGGAAGTTGTCGGATTGCTTGTGGTTTTCAGTGGTCAAAAAGGGGGTTTTATCGGGACCCATTTGGGGAATACTTAAAATCAATAGGACCCAGGAACTACTAAAGATTTATCCGAAAATCTTAGGTTTGGGGTTGAACATGGACCTTAAGTAATAGCTAATCACATAATGTGGATTGGTTTATAACTAGCTTCCTGCCAGCTGCAACAGCAACCTTATTGCTGGATCTCTATCTTGTACTGGTCTCTCACTAACTTTCACTAAGATTGCACTGCATAAAGATGAAACAAAGCAAAGTGGGTAAATGTGGGTAAATGACAAGCCATTAGATATAGTCTATTCTGGCAACAGGTTTCGGCGGTTGTGGGAGTCCTTCAGGCATGGACATGACTGCTGGCCCATAGCCATTTTATGATTGACCAATCATCATGCGGGAATTCTGTTCACTCTCCATGATTACAGCTTGAATCAGTGATATACATTCAAATTGCTATGTTGTTTTACTTTGAACTGCATTTTCAAGTCTGTTTGTTCCATAATCATAGTTGATTTCAACATGAACGTGTATCATTGATTTCTATACTCAATTCATCATGCGTTTCTCCATGTTAGGTCGTCCCATCCTTGCTTCAAATCCCAAGCATTTTGGGATCTGACCGTTCATCTGACCCGTCTCTTGCGTCAAAGCAGCGTTTGGTCATAGAAATTGCCTGCGGTGTTGATGATTCTTGATGCAGATCCTGTTTTTTTCTTCGATGTTGAATTGAACGGCCCGGCCAACATCACATTTTTGTCGAAGGATTTGATCCCGGCCTTTGAATCCCGTGGAAGATGTTGATGTGTTTGTTACTCGAATTTGTTGGTTATATAACCAGGATATAAGGATCAGTTTTGGATTTAGCCATTTAGCCCACATATTTGGAGTTGCTTAGCATATCCTCATCAACCATCATCAACCACCTTTGTTGCTTGCAATGTTCCCATCCACAGGTTGTTCCTTTGTTTTCCCCTAGTTGTATTGGTTATACTTATTTTTCCCATACATTTCCAGGATTCTGTTGTGTTTCCCTTGGCCCCGCTACTTCTTGCCAATACGTTCCGTTCATTTTTCTAACTATATATGTTTTCCCCTGTGTTTCCTAGGTCTCCCCATAGTTTTGTCCAGGGTTTTCCACCAGCTTCTGCTTGGTTCATGCGAAGAAACTCACCTACGGGCAGGAGTTGGCAGAGCTGCAGGGGGAGCTGGAGAAAGAACGGCGACATTTGGAGGTACGGAAATGGCGGGAGCTGGGCCATGCTGGGCTCTCCAGGGATGCGGGGATTATACTGGTGCTTAGTCAATATTAGCCCCTATATATCAGTGATATAATCCAGTTATAATATCTGAAATATCATTGATAATCAGTGATACCCCCTGGTATTTTTTTACATGCTGACTGAGATTTTCATCAGCCATTTTGAATGGAAACTAGTCTTCCAAGCCCGATGACTGCCAGGGTCGAACTGCTAATATACCAGAGGCTACATTTTGGGTTGTAAGAATCATATCCATACTTAGGCCTTTCGTATGATATCTGTTTATACGATTCTACCTTAGTAGGGGATGAGGGAATGATCTATATATAATGACTACCCTCTGGTAAACTAACATAACTATTGAAAATGGCCATTTATAGTGGATTTACCCATTAAAAATGGTGATTTTCCATAGCTATGTTAAATTACCAGAGGGTAACTATTAATGATCATCCCAGCAACCCCCATTCCCATCCATTCCCTACGTAAAACGCACCAGTAAGTTTTCACCCATGGATCAACCTCTAACTGGGGATGCAAAAACCAAGATAAACCATTCTGTTTCATGGTTATATAATGGTTTTGGTTTATAATGGTGCTTTGATATACATATATATATAATATATATTATAACATTATAAAACACTATGATATATATATACACATATTATGTACAATGATGTTTTGGTTTTGGTTGATTACTGTGAACCGTATCGTTATATTTCATCTGGATGAATTGCAATATATATATATATATGACCTCGCCGTGACGGAATCCTTGAATCCTGGAATGATCAGTGATTCGTAAAGGGAATAATTCCCAAATAGCCGTATGATAAGAAATGATTAAACGTGCTAGTTTCAGGCTATATAGTGAATTAATTACTGTATTGTAATTCAGCCAAATACAATGGTCATATAACATGTTCTAGTTAACATGGTATTTGTTTATAGTTAACCGTGGTTATAACGGTGATATATTGAGTGAACAGTGGGTGATTGTTGATGGTTTTCAATGGGTAGAGTACCATAGAAGTTAAACCCGAGACATTGGGATATAACATATGCCCCAGAAGTATGTTTGTTTGTTTTTGTCCACTCATAGATGGGTTTGCAACGACAGGTTTAACCCATGACGAATACGGTCTTTACCCACCCCAAATGGGATAAATGGAATAAACTGAATATTACTATATATTACTATACAACCCAATTAAATCCAGTGTTTAGGGTGGTTGTAGCTTAACAAGGATTTATGGTGTATCAAACTAGTTATAGCATGTTATAGCAGGATAATTGAGGCCATATTTTCAGCAACTTGGAATCGGGGGGGAACCATCCCAGCCGATCGAAATTCCTACGACTGGTGTCCAATGGTGCCTCGAAAAATCGATACGGATAAAAACGGCAGTTGACCTCAAAAAACGGCAGGATTTACCCTCTGGTAAACTACCATAGCTATGGAAAATCACCATTTTTAATGGGTAAATCAACTATTTCTATGACCATTTTCAAGTTCGCAAACTGTTTTAATGGTAAAATTCACTATAAATGGGCCAATTTCCATAGTTACAGTATGTTAGTTTACCAGGGGGTACATTGAACATTGGACCTGGAACACATTCGAAAATTGACCTGTGTTATTTTTGGCAACTCCCACTTACTATGGTCAAGAAAAATGGATGGGAGTCTAAAAATTTTCGGGATTTGGTCTTAAACAAATGGAATTAAGCAGCAAAAACACATGGGTCAGTTACCAATGTAGTTGTGACCTCAGTTGCTCAATTAAATATGTGTTTGTTTGACTCATGAAAGCTGTGGCTTAACCGTACAAAAAATCGCCACGTTTGACCAAAGTGCCTGGGATGCCATGGATGCAGAGAAGGGAAGTAAGTCTGACAGGTCCCCATTTGCGGATTGAAATGCTATGAGAGATACTAACCATGTTATAAACCCAGTTATATGCGTACATTATATATAGAATATAAAATATGATAAATATGTTATATATGTTTGATGATCTTTGTTTATTTTAATGGTTTACCCGGCCTGGTGCCATGATGCACGTGGCTGGCTGGAACATGCCGAAACCTGCCCAGGAGATGAAGCAAACATGTCAGCAGCTGGAGAAGCAACGGGAGCCACAGGAGAATGGCACCGGATCTCTACAAGGTAAGGCCCAAAAAACGTGATGAAAATATGTTGGTTTATCATGGTTTATAAACCTCATGAATACTATAGTTAAGATTAGTTAAGTACCGTAAACGCAGTAAACCATAGTGAAATTGGAGTTGTGTTCACCAACTTTGCGATTTCGTTTACGGGGGCCCCACTTTGTAGCAACTCTCCAATGGCTGGGACGTCATGCACTCAGGCACCCATCATCATGAGAGCCCTTCAAACGCTCCATGGTAGTGAACATTCATGGGAACACAAGTCTGCTACAGTCGTTGATGCCTACAACTGTGCATACATGCACATGTATGTTACATATTTACATGCATAAGAAGCACCAGTAGGGAAATCTGCTGGTTTCTTCTCAGCTTGCGAACCACGATCGTGACCCCAGGAGCTGCAAAAGGCAGTGCCTCAGGCAACCCAGAGCCAGCAGCCAAAGGCGTCGTCATCAGCGCGACATTTTTTCTGATTGGTTTCTTCACTTCACCATGTGGTGATGGCTAACAACCAACAGAAACATATGGATTTAACGAATAAAATAGGGTCATTGCTTTGAGTCTTTGAGGTGATGTGTGGAATCCGAATCTGGCATATTTGGGACTGGGGACTGGGCATGTCAAAAATTGTCATGTAGTCATGTTCAATCAAAGATTTAAGGAGCAAACCTGTTGATTTCGCCAATCACGTGACCAAAGAAGTCAGTCCATCCCTTGTCGATGGATATGCAATGACCTACGACCTGGCTCCATTGGTGCAGTGATCGTTGGGATTTGATTGCTAGGTGCTGCCGGAGCTGCAAAAGACAAAGCAGGAGCAGCCTGGGCGTGGTAGCCATGGGAGATAATTTGAAGCTGAAGCAGGGATGAATCTGTCCAGCAACTTTAGAAGATTCAAACAAAATGGCTGGGTAAATTTCACCACGACCTCACTGTTCGACCGAACCCTGGAATCATGGTTAGTAAGGGAAATCATCCCCAAATGGCCTTAATTCAGGTTAGTGAAATATTATAATTTACCCAGAAATGGGGACTTGTCGGACTTGACCCATGACCCGAAAAAATCATGGGATGTCAGACTGTCGGACCCCTCTCAGTTTGACCCCAGTTTCTTTGTGTTCCGGCGCTTAGTTCAACCCACTGACCAGGGGATCAGCAAAGCACCAAGCTACCGGTAAGGGCAAGCCGTAGTTCAAAACGAAGAGATCGCAACAAGATCGAGAGGTGCCCTCTAGCTAAGTCAGCTAGGTTGGTTTATAAACCCGATGAATAGTACTCGTAGCTATGTTCACCAACTTGGCGTAGCCTTATCGGGTCGTGATTTTCTTGGGCTTGTGGAAACGGAACTGCCTCCAGGGATAACCCAGCAACCCCCCGTCTTTCGAGGATCATCATTTTTCCAGGTGAACCACTTGTGCAATGTTGTGGGAAAAAAACACACAAATTCTTTGGGCAAGCTCAAGTATCACATCAACTTGGTTATACCCCATTCATTTGCTCCACTCTATCCCCATTCTGGTGAGTTTTGTCCCTAAAGTTATCTCTCTTCTTGGTGGTTATATCATAATTCCATCCAGTCATAATCCCATCTAACATAATCACGTGATCACATTTTACCCCACTGATTTACTGTGCAATCCCCATTGAATGTCACTGATTTGGGACAATGATCTAAAAGATACAGCCAAGTGTTGCTTAAGTTGATTTATAAATATAAACCCATGAAATTGCAGATATATCCGCCATAAACCAACAACAAATATGATAAACCGGTTATATAACTGGTGGTTTATAACTGGTTATATAACTGTTTATTTCCGCTATTAAAATCCATATCTAACCCAGTTACTTTTACCAACAGAAGTTACAGTCCTGAGCCACTCAGCAGGGAATCCACAGCCATGGATTCAACCAAGCACCCCCAGTGATGCTCAATAAGCCCTTATTAGATCTTATTCTGGTTGGTGGTGACTGGAACATGAATGGATTATGACTTTCCATATATTGGGAATAATCATCCCAACTCATATTTTTCAGAGGGGTTGAAACCACCAACCAGTATTAGTGGTTGTTGGTGCTTCAAACGCGTATCCATAATCCAAAATACAAAGTCAAGGATTATAAACCACCAACAGACTAATATGATTAACATTCACTATGGATCCATGGCCACTGTCTGAGAAGGTACTTATATAACCCTCCAAATTATTGTACATTATACCCCAGTCCCACTTCCTGGCTTTCAGAAGGTACGGCTGGATCCATAGGGATTGATTAACCACTTCTTCTCCACCACTTTTTCGCTCGGCAGGAGCTGCAAGCCACACAGCTGGAGTTGGAGAAGAGCCGCGAAGAGTTGCGGGTGCGGATCCGGTTGAACGGGTCCATCGAGTCGATGGAATATGTGAAAATATGTGCAATACTTCCATATATACAATTATGTATATGTATATATGTATATATGTATATATGTATATATGTATATATGTATATATGTATATATGTATATGTATGTGTATATATATATACTATACATCATGTTATGTTTTTTGAAACATTTTGCAGGTTTCCTAAAATGGAAGTACCCCAAATCATCCAGTCGTCATGGATGACCATTGTAGTATTGAAACCAATGGTGACTTGAGAATCCCCCCATGACTTAAGAAACCCGCATGTTAATCATGTTGTATTTGTTTGTCACAAATGGCGATATGAATTAAACAATATCTTCAATGGGATCAAATGGGCATTTCATGAGGATATGAACCCAGAATAACCCAGAAGAATAGGCCATTCAGCAAGACACAGTGGACATGAATTAATAATAGGACATTTACAAACTACTATGTGTAACGGCAATATGATAGCAATATTATTCAACATTGTATGGTAAGTAGATCATAGTAACAATGATGTAAAATCCAGGTACAATAACATACCATAACATACAATAACATACAATAACATACAATGACATACAATGACATACAACAACATACAACAACATACAACAACATACAATAACATGTTTCCTATTATAATATATATATAGACCCTATGAAAATACCATTACATCATCATCAATCCCATCCACTAAAAATGGGAATACCAGGTCGGCGAAATGTCGATTTCCGATGGGATGGCCATGATGGGGTGGCCATGGTTTTATTGGTTATCACATGTTATCGCTATATTATTATTGTTGTTTTATATCACTACAAATATATATATACACATTATATATATATATATATACGTTATATAATATACGCATTATATATATATATATATACATTATACATAATTTATATGTATACGTACACACATTGTTACATATAACACCGGTCTTGATAAAACCGTGCACCCAGGCTTCTGGAGAAGGGTCTCACAACAATTTGAGTCCCCCAGATATTGGTGTGCCGCTCTAACGATCTCCTTCCGAAAACGACGCAAGGCATGTCTTATGATGCAATCTCCTCTACCAATTTTTAGATAGTTTTAGAGTATATGTCTTTGTATCACAACATGACTGACATTGAATAAATGAACGAAAAAGTAAATGTTTGGGATTCCATCACTTGAATGCCTTTGCGTCACAGGCCCTTCGAGGAACGCAGTTGGAGTTGGAGAAGACTCGTGAAGAGTTGCAGGACGGGGTTGCATTGCCTGGAAATCGGCAGCAGATTCTTCAAATATCCTGGTTGATTGGTTACTAGAGGGACTTACACTACCTGATTTACTTGGGGATTATGATAACCCATAGTAGGGAAACGTATCACCCAACTAGTACTGCTTCCACTTTTTATTCACCCGCGCAGAACGGGGCATTGTTCTTGTCCTGTCTGCCTGGACAGTCTGACGACGTGTTGAACAGTTGACCTTTGGCTATCGTCAGTTCAGAATCACACGCAATAATATGGTCATTGGTAACCCATGCCATCTTCCGATTTTTGCCAGAAATGAGTAGAACCATCAAAACTGGTTGGTGGTTTGGACCATTTTTAGTTTTCCATTGGGAATGTCATTATCCCAACTGACGAGTTGTCATATTTTTCGGGTAGGTCAACCACCAACCAGATATAGAAACATCCCGAAACCTGGGGCCGCAGGAGCTTCGCAGAACGCGGTTGGAGGCGCGCAGTGGTTTTGGGTCAACCCTGGAGGTTTAAAACTTTCATGTTGGTAAAATAATACCCTCTGGTAAACTAACATAGCTATTGAAAATGGCCGTAGAAATAGTTGATTTACCCATTAAAAAAATGTTATGTTCCATAGTTATGTTGGTTTACCAGAGGGTACCCTATGGATCCATGGCCACTGTCTGAGAAGGTACTTATATAACCCTCCAAAATTATAGTAAATTATACCCCAGTCCCGCTTCCTAAATAAGAAGGTACGTCTGGATCCATGGGGATAGTAAAGCATCCCCTAAATTTCACCACAAATTTATAGGTGGTATGTCTACCATTCCCAGTCATGGGTGGATCATGACATTGTTTACCCACAAGGTGGTGCCCCAGTTCGTTAGCTAAGTTGGTTTATAAGTCCAATAACTAGGGTTTATGGGGGTTATATCTATAGTTAATTGGGATTATAAACCAACTTATAACTATGGGGGCACCACCTTGCACATTATTGTATTTATGAGGCCACGATTCCAAAGGGCTGAATGGAAAGAGTCAGGACCCGGTACCAGGCTGAATCAGCTTTGAAGGGGACGCGAAAGGTCTGGTCTGGTAGATTGGGGAACTGTCAAAACATTGTAACGAACAAAAATATCCATAGTTGACATTTTGAAGGTATATCCCCTTACATATATAGACCTTATATATGGTAGGATATGGTAGGTACCTCCAATTCAGGTTCCTGAAATGGCCACTGAACGTTTCCTCGCACGAGGAAACGGAGACCTGCACAGAACTTGGCGAATCGCAGGCATCGATGAAAGGGAACAGTTGGGGGTTCTTAAGTCATGGGAGATCTTCAAGTCACCATGGGTTTCACTATATCTGGTTGGTGGTTTCAAACATTTTTTATTTTCCATAATATATGGGAATAATCATCCCAACTGACTTTCATATTTTTCAGAGGGGTTGAAACCACCAACCAGATATAGTTTAAAATGGTCATCAATGAATGACTTGGATGATTTGGGGTACGCCCCATGAATTAGTAAACCTCCGTAACGAGGTCAAGAAAAATGTGTGTTCCTTTGCTGTTTTGTGGTTATAGAGTTGGAGCAGGATTTAGATTTGGAGTCAGAAGAGTGTTCCATATCTTTCCAGATGATTCAAACTGCTGGTGATTGGTGCTTCATCACTTATCCATATTTCTCCCCTATGTCAATTCCCCAAAGTAACTGGATGACATAAACCATCCCTGATAGCCTGATAGCCATACTTCTTGGGCGTGGCTCACCCACCTTTTTTATTTCTTGCAGTGTGGCACATCATTTTTCGCAGCCACATGTTTGTCCAGAGTCCAGCTATATAGCTATTGACATCATACTTTTGCCAGGAAATTCCTTGTCATGTTCAAGGTGTATGTCAGCAGACCGACATCGAGGAATAGTGAAGAGACTTGACATTTGACTCGACACATGGCAGGTCTTGTGGACTTGTAAGGACTTTTAATGACATGGACAAGTATATAATGCCAACTGTCCTGTGAGTTGTCTCGATGGTCAGTCAGAATTGTCGCGGTCATCACTCTTTTCAACTGTTCACAATATGATTTGCACATTTTCCCAGCTACTAGATCTTCCTTGCAACAATGAATCAACTTTGAGATGACTAAGAGCCGTACAAAGAGTCCTGACGGTAGCACTAAGATCATGTCATGGAGAGAGTCCGAAAACCCTGAGATGGGTCCACAGAGTCCACCAAAAAGGTCAAATGGTTGGTGGTGACTGGAACATGAATGGATTATGATTTTCCATATTTTGGAAATAATACTCCCAACTGACTTTCATATTTTTCAGAGGGGTAGGTATACCACCAACCAGGTTCACGTTTTCTCATTTTTTGTTTGCTTGAATTGCCGCTTTGGGGGTATGTTCCATTTGGGGACCTCCATATGGTTGAACTCACCAGCGGCCACACTATTGCACTAGGTCTTTGTCGGCGTTACTCGCAGACTTCTCGGCCCAATAGAAGCAAGTGAAAGCTCCATGCTCGACACTGGTGAACTTGATCATGATCATAGTTGTTGCCTCTATATATAAATATGATATATATATATATATAGTTTGTATATATATATACATAATATTATATAATATCAATATATGTATAAATCATATATATATATACATATACAGGTTTCTGTAATTTGTCTCAGCATCCAGTAGATTTTGGGATCTTTTGGGTGCGAGTCAAAAGCTCAAGTGATTAGACTGGTTCTGCGGCATGTGGGCCGGGCCGTGGCTCTCAGAGGGCCAAGTTGCGCTGTTTGTCTAAAGTTTTATGCCAAGACCCCGTTCCATTCACTGGTTCATCAAGATTTTCCCTATTGTTTGTTTGATGTCAAAAAAGCACTGGAAAACTGATTATTTCATCAGTTCCCTATTAAATCTTCCTGGCAACATCATTTCCCAATGAAAACCTGCAATCTAGGCCCCCCAGTTAAAAGTGTGTTTATAAACCCCATGAATACTGTTAGAAGTACCATAAACCGTAGTTATGTTCACCAACAAAGGTGGTTTCGACTTTGGTGAACCGACTCACTCAACACCTCTCCGGCCATGGCAGACGACGCATCGCCCTCGCCCATGTCCTTTGCGCCTGAGCCCGAGACGTCGCAGTCGCTGGCATCGCCGGTCATGGATCTGGAGCGACGCTTGGAGCAGCTCCAGAATTCCATGGAGACGCTCGGCGAAAGTCTGGATGTATACCTTTTTGTTGGGGGGTTTTCGAATAGATAGTAGTATCCAGTAGTAGTATATTAGTATCTTATAAGTATCTATTAGATTGTTATAAGATATTAATATACTACTACTGGATACTACTAGAATTACAATAAGATATATGTAATGTCAACCCTGGATTAAGAAATTGTGGTTCATTAATTAGGGTGGGTACTCCCCAAATAGTGAAAATCGGATACTTCAATGGTATCCCCGCAATTAAACAACCTAGGGGTTTATTAATCCAGGGTTGACATTAATTATTTGATCTATTTTATTTGATTGGTGTTTTCAGATTGATGTTTTCACTCACTCGTTATTCAACACTAATCTGTGAGTAAACCGTTCCACTTCACAACAAAATACCGATGAAACCGGATTAGCTATGGACAATGGTGTTTTTTTTTCCGTTGGACATCATAGTTTATCATAGTTTATCCTATCATTCTCACCAAATCTGATGAGTTTCCACCGGGCCACAACCACCCAGGACCTTGCAATCTTCCCAGTCTTGTCAAAGCTGGTTGCCTCAGCAGGGCTTCGCTGGGGAAACCTTGAGGAGTCCCTCCAATAATAATGGCATAGCCCATATTGTATGATATGCAATATGTGCCTGTATTAGGATCATGTTTGGGGTAAATCTTGAAATATATTCCATATATGGAGCATTCGGATATGCATCCGGGTAGTCATGGCATAATCGCGGTATGGAAATGGTATGATAATGGTACGGTATAATACAGGTTTGATAATGAGCAAAAACAATGGTATAATTTATTATGATTAATCACCCATCGTGAGACTGTCATCCATTCCCGCGCTCATCTTAAACATTCCCCAGAAACATCAGAAACCATGGTTACAGAAAGTAGAGGATGTAATCACAGATGTGGGACCATAGAATGGTAATGTTTAATAACGGGAGAAGGGATTACTAACTGATTATGGGTTCTTTGCGTTTTTTTGCGATGTCCACCAACCAGCAGTTTTTTTTTGTCCCGGGTGTTTGAGACTGTTTGTATATTTATAATTATTTATATATATATGATACGAATCAAGTCATCGTTCAACTCATTGTTGATTGCAGTAGGTAATGCATGTTACTTGGTTCAAACCCATATTTCCCTATGGATCCAAACACTGTGTGAGAAGGTACTTGACCGTCCAAATTATAGTAAAATATACTTCAGAGACTTCCTAAGAAGGTACGACTGGATCCATAGGGTTTGTTAATTGAGTCCAATTTCTTTCACACCATGACCGAACTTGAAGAAGTTTCGTTTCCTGCTGCGCTTTGGACCATCCAAGAACAGCCCCAGGGGCCCCAGGACGGAATTCCCATGGATCGTTGAATAGAAACCGCGACCTAGGGTGATCTCACCATGGTTATAGCCATTTTCATAACCAGAACTATCAGAACTGGCCCCCAAGTTGGCCAAGTTGGGATTGAAGCCCAAAGGTTAAGCCCCTGTGTTGATACCAAGCTGAATCGACAGTAACCCTCAGCCAGGCATCATCCTGGAAGAGCTTCGTTCCCTGCTTTTGGAACTGAAGGCTTTGGGCTCCCCGCAACTAGGCGATCGAACGCAAACTGGGCCTGGTTCTGTGTTTCTGTGGTTTTTTATTGTTTTTGTGAAATCGTTGTTTTTCTATCAATGGTCTACGAATTATATAACTATTATTTGACATTAGCGCTTCAACATTTGTGACATAGTTTTGCTGAGAATTCAACAAGTACTAAGCAGCAACATACATCACAATGCCATACTAAAAGGAAGTCATGGAACAAGACTGCCATACTAAAAGGAAGTCATGGAACAATTTCATAAGCTGGAATAAAACCCCCCTGGGCCAATGCCAGGTGACAGCAACAACGTGTGTATATGAGAATGTCAATGTCAAACACGGCCCCACAGCATCCCTCAATTCAGAACGTCCTGGGACTCCCAGTTGTCGTAGTACCTTGGTACTACTTGGTACCTGGGGAGATCAATGCTACATGTGCCTCTCAGCCCCCTAGTTCCCAGGGCAATAGATAGATAAATAGATAGATAGATAGATAGATAGTCTAGATGCCGTGAAAGGCTTGACACAAAGTTGCTGAGGTTTGTCTCTACACCGGAGTAACCAGTACACCCAACCAAGTAGATTCCAGAATTTCCAGACTATGCCACCCAATTCATACTAAACGCATAATGTTGGCATATTTTGGCCCAAGTAATGTCGTTTTCTGAAACATGGGGGTTTGGCGCATATATAGTTTAACCAAACTATATCCCATAACATTCTTACATGCTACATCAGTCAATAATTGATGGCTGTGTTTATTTTTGTTGACAGGGAAAACATGAGGATGGTGATGGGGATGAGTGATGAAGATGATTTGTCAATGATTATTGACGATGACGATGACGATGACGATGATGATGATGATGATGATGATGATGATGATGATGATGATGATGATGATGATGATGGCGATGACGTTGATGGTGATGGCTGTGATAGTGATGATTATGATGGTTACAATGACTATGATGATTATGGTTATTATGATGATTATGGTGGTTATGATCATTGCAATGATTACGATCATTATGATCATTATGATGATTACAATGATGATGGTGATGATCATCGTCGTCGTAATCATCATCACCACTATCGTCATTCTGAAGTGATGCTTATGATGATATTGATTGACTGGCTGATTGATTGGTTGATTGATTGATTGATTGCTTAATTGATTGAACTGTTCATTGATTGTTTGACTTATTGCCTGATTGTTTGCTTATTGATGGGTTGAATGATTGATGATTGTTTGCTTGATTGATTGAATGATTGACTGACTGACTGATTCATTGATTGGTGATAATGCATGGTTGATGCTTGATACTTGATGATACCCTCTGGTAATGACTAACAGTTTGCGAAATTGAACATGGCCATTGAGTTCGTTGATTTACCCAGCTATAAGATGGTAATTGTTTATAGTTTTTTGTATCTTTACTACCAGAGTCATAGAATTAGTTAAAGGGAACATTTACAGGAAAACCATATATTTGTTGGTAAAAACCGTGGTTTCCTGTAGATTTTCCCTTTCCAGAAACAGTTGAGAATTTGATCATCCCAACTGACGTTCACTCCATGATTTTTCAGAGGGGTAGGTCAACCATCAACCAGATACAATTTTGGGATACGATGTCATTTTTATTTAAAGACATACAGTCCTGAGAGACCTTTTTTTTCAGCAACACTTGCTGTGGGTTTCACATTGGCCACAATTTGCATTGTTGGGAGGTAAGTAAGTGAGTGAGTGATGAATGAGGGAAGGAAGGGAGGAAGGAAGGAAGGAAGGAAGGAAGAAGGACGGCCGGAAGTACTGTAAGGACGTAAGAGCGAGGTGTTTGAAAACAATGCGCTAGAACAACAATATTGCCATCTTACACTTTTGCAATCGCTTGACAAAGAAGACCTTAAACCGATATCGATATATATATATATATGCTTCGGTTAGTTGGGCATGTCTCCGACTTTGGGCAGATGCCTTGGCTGCCCAGGCGAAAGAGAACGCCACCGTTTTTGACCCGCAGCTGATGTGATGGGGGGTACCCCAGGGGTTGTTGAAATATGGGGATTCATGATTGTCACAGCGCATCGATACATGTGAATCGATCATAAATATGATTCGATCATATTAATGCGTCATAAGTCATAATGCGTCAAATGCCAGACATTTTGGGTTTAATACCCGTGTTGTTGTTTTTTTTTGATATCTGTAATCTATATTATATAGTTCTATTATAGACCATTCCGATGACATCAGGTTTTGTGGTACATGTGACTGGTACACAACCATATTCAAATTCAAAACTAGCATGAACAGCACTGCGTTTGAAACAACAGTAGGACATCAAATAATCCTCTGATAATCAGACATGGCAATTGCAAATCCTGTGCAGATGGTTAATGGGATAATCTGCGAGCTAAATGGTTGATTTTTTCCGTGTTTGCCAGAGCGCAATTGACTCATTTGAGGGTTATTTTGGCTGTGGATGGCCTTAGTGACTATGTAAAAATGAGGAATCACTATGCATTCCATACATGCTCCGAGAAAGACATAATACCAAGATCTTGTATTTTGAACATATTTGAACGATACCAAGTGAATTGAAACAACAATATTCCTGTCAAACGCGATCCAAACGGAAGGATTCCAGCATGAGTGTCGTTGTGATTGGTGGACAGCTAATACAGAGGGAGATGAATGGGACTCAAAAAGAGCATGGAAAACCCAACATGAATGTAGATAATTTCCCGATTCCGGGTTTCCCCATGGGTTTTCCACATTTTTGTGTACGTGTACCCAAGGGTATTACATTGTATTACATGATATGGCAGTGTGTCAAAACCTTGTACCCCTGGTGAACATCAAAATAGCTGGTAAATGGATGTTCATCCCCCTAAAAATGGTATTAATAGGTATTGATCCATATCCATATATTACTTGGGTCCGCGTAAGATCCCATCATGCCCCATTCATTGAATAAATATCTCAGGTCGTCACGTGCCGAAAATTCGCGCACAGAATACATCGATACCCAGCGTATATTATAAGTTTATAATAGTTTATATGTATATAATACCTTTTGATATACATCATGCATATATATATACATGTATATTATGTAAATATATATATATATGTTTGTACATGCAATTTATTTGGTGTTTTTTTGGCGGTTACGTTTCTTTCTTGCCGTTTCGTTTTTTTTCAATTATTTCTGGTTCTCAGCTTACCTGCTTCTCTGCTTTTCGCTGCCTCTCTTTTGTTTCTCATATTGTACATAAAGCCAAAGACGCATCATATAATACATAAACCGTTCATAAACCCTAAATCAACCCTAAATAAAACCATATAAAACCCAAAACAAACACAAAAAACATTAAAACAACTCTAAATAGACCCCAAACATGCCCTAAATAAATCTAAAGCAAATCCTAAATAAACCCTAAAGCCACCCTAAATAGATTCTAAACCAACCCCAAAAAGATATTCAACCACGCCTAAATAAACCTCGCACCAACCCTAAATAGATCTTAAACCAGGCTTAGATAAATCCTAAACCAACGCTAAACAAACCTTAAACCAACCCTGAATAGGTCCTACACTAATTCTAGACAGGTACTAAACCAAACCTAAATAAAGCCTAAAACCATCTAAAACCGACCCTACATGAACCCTGAATGATTTTTTTTTTTAAACCAAACCGAAATAAATCCTAAAACCAACCCTAAATAGATCTTAAACCAACCCTTAAATAAAGCTTACGCCAACCCTAAATAGATCCTGAACAAACCCTAACTCCAAAACCAACTCTGAAGAAAAACAAAAACCAACCCTAATGGAAACGTTAAACTAGCCCTAAAACCAATCCTAAATGAACCCAACAGTTGCAGACCATGTTGTGAGCTTCCAGCTCCAAAATGCTGCCAGCAAGGAAAATGGACAGAATCAGGAAATTTAAAAAACGGAAAAAAAGAAACAAACAATTCCGGAGCCTTTTAGATTCTTTTCCACCTAGTTGTGCAGTGTCCAAATCTCGTTCCACATACTGAAAATAGGCCCATAGATCCGCCTGAAGCCTCGTTTTGCTGATGAACTCCACCTTTTCGGCAGAGATTTTTTTCCATAACGCATAAGTTTCAATCCCATGAAAGAAGACGATCAACATGGTGATTTCACGAACGCCGAACCCCCCCCATTTCGGTGACCTTCCCAAAACTAATGGGTGGATTTCGATGAAAAATCGGGCGAATTTCAGCCGGTGGACGCAGGAAGGATCCTCTCGACGTGGCGCCGTCGGCACCTTCCGACGTGCCCATTTTGATGTCGATCCCCGGGCAGAACGAGGAGGGCGCTGCGGCCTCGAACCCGGAGCCGCCGCGCCGCCCGATGAAACGCGGAGGGGACGTCTGTTTTTGTGAGAAACGTGCGGATGGCCCCAGGAGAAACCTATGATTTGGGAATGGTTGGGAATGGTTTATGATGATTTCTGCTAGGATGGGGGATGGTGTATTATTGTATTGGCCTTAATTATCAGTTTAAATCTGTTGCTACAGCTGTGCCAACTATATAGCTATTTTATGTCTGTTTTGAATGGTTTTGAGGTCTAAGATTGACCAATAACTCCATCTCCAATTGGGATCTGAAAATGGGACGGTATAGCCCGTGTTGCCTTGCCATTTAGGAGAAATGATCGTCAAAATTATTGTCTTTGGGCCCGATCCTTTTTTCAGGACCCAAATGGGATTGTAGTTGCAGATCAATGCCCAGATGCTCTTTGCATCCTAAGAAGTATCCCATACTTGGCGCTACTTTGGATCTAGTGTAAGTGTAGGTATACCGGTATGTATACGTATTCCATGAAATACTTCAGTACATATTCACCAACACTTGCCCCAAAGATGGCATGCAAAGAATATTTGCCTACATGGAGTATTTGGGAGGGAGAGAACATGAGAGAACATGAGAGAATCATCTGAAATAGTGCAAAGAGTTCATGCATGTGAACCCTTGTCCCGATGTAATGCATCTGCCTTTGTCTGACAATGGGGTACCCCCAAGGGAATGATCAGAATGCCTTGAGGTCAGTCGCTTGAACGTTGTCATAAACTTGCTGAAAACCGCAATTCTTCAGACACACCCAAATCTCATATAATTACTTGGTTATCACATGTTACCACACTAATATTGCCCTGATATCCCTATCTTTCCAGTCAATCCCCTACTTGGGAGTGCAGTTGAGGTTATTAACAGATATGACTATACTATAACATGATATAACCAAGCATACCATTCCCCACAAGTTAGCATATTATGCCCCCCCTAAGGCCCTATCGTGTTTTTTCTATGCTTAGATCTCCAATTTCACTATGGTTTATGGTAGATATAACTAACTAGTATTCATGGGGTGAAACTAAACCAACGTTCACATCACGACTGGGGGGCGCCACATTGTATGGATGTTGACTATGGATACTATTCATATGGCCTATCTCAACTATATCCATGATATGCTTCCCACGGATTTCCCACGGATTTCCCATACTTTTCCAATCTCCCCAGCCGCCAGGCAGCCCCTCAGTCCGGCCGGCCAAGAAACATGCCGTGTCGACCTTGGCCAAGGTACCGTGTCTGCTGACATTTGTGGAGAGTGTGGCGGTTGGATTCCTTAAATGCTGATGTTTTTTATGGTGAAATCCCCTATTCATATTATGTTTTTTGATTGGGCACATCGAGTTTTTTTCATGTTTATGTAATGTTCGATGGGGGGTAGCTATTTCTCATAAAACAAGTTTTAAGGGGAGTCAGGGTGAGCTAAGTAGATTGATGCAAAGACAACCCACCATGTTGGAACTTCATTACCAGCTTAAACAACATTTCCGTTTATTTTGATGTAATGTTAACACCGGGTTAATAAACCCCCCCTCCCCCCCTATAGGTCAACTAGGTCAACAAGGTCCAGTCAGAAGGTCCAAAAACCGAACCCCCGAAATAATGTGCCCATTCATTCATCCATAAACGATTATTATAAGATTCCTATGAGAAAAGATAAGAAAACCTATGGTAAAGCATCAAATTCCTATTGAAAGATTGGAAAATTAGTGGTAAACCATCAGATTCCTATGAGAAAAGATAAGAAAACCTATGGTACCCACCATCAGATTCCTATGAGAAAAGATAAGAAAACATATATAATACCATCAGATTCCTATGAGAAAAGATAAGAAAACCTATGGTAAAGCATCAAATTCCTATGGGGAAGATTGGGATTCCTATGAGAAAAGATAAGAAAACATATATAATAGAAAAGATAAGAAAACCTATGGTAAACCATCAAATTCCTATGGGGAAAGATTAGAAATTTAATGGTAAACCGTCAGATTCCTATGAGAAAAGGTAAGAAAACCTATATAATACCATCAGATTCCTTTACGAAAAGATAAGAAAACCTTTGGTAAACCATCAAATTCCTATGAGAAAAACAAGATGCAGCCCACGAACCCGAATGCTCACACGTACGTTAATGGCACAGGTGTCCAAACATATGGATTTGCAGTCACGCAGAACACTTTTCTGCAATAGTTTATTGGAACAGTCTTGTACATATTTCCTCTGTTACAAGTCTGCAGTGTGGAGTGTAAAGTGTAGAGTGTGGAGTGTGAAGTGGAAAGTGTAGAGTTTGGAGTGTGGAGTGCGGAGTGTAAAGTAAGGAGTGTGGAGTGTAAAGTGCGGAGTGTGGAGTGTAAAGTGTGGAGTGTAGTGTGTGGAGTGTGGGGTGAGGAGTGTGGAGTGTAAAGTGTAGAGTGTAAAGTGTAGAGTGTGGAGTGTAAAGTGTGGAGTGTAAAGTGTGGAGTGAGGAGTGAGGAGTGCACATGAGGAGTGTAAAGTGCAAAGTGTAAAGTGTAAAGTGTGGAGTGTAAAGTGTAGAGTGAGGAGCGTAAAGTGTAAAGTGTGAAAATGAATGGTAAACCATGAGATTCCCATTAGACAAGATCAGAAAACCTATGGTAAACCATCAAATTCCTATGAGGGAAGATGAGGAAACCACGTAGAAGCCATCAAATTCCTATGAGGGAAGATTCGAAAATGAATGGTAAGCCATGAGGTTCCTATGAGAAAAGATAAGAAAACCTATGGTAAACCATCAAATTCCAATCAGAAAAGATCAGAAAACCTTTGGCAAACCATCAAAATCCTATGAGGGAAGATGAGGAAACCACGTAGAAACCATCAAATTCCTATGAGGGAAGATTCGAAAATGAATGGTAAACCATTTGATTCCTATGAGAAAAGATAAGAATACCTATGGTAAACCAAAATAGGAAGTAACCCTGGAAATAGTATTCCGAATTAAAAAGTAAAAGGGAGTAATAGCAAATTAGTCCCACCAAAAAATTGGGGATCCCAGAGGGGCTTCGCTAATTGGGGTGTATTTTAGTGTTATTAGGGGGGGAAATCAGCACCTAATTGACTTTAGTATTGCCCCAAAATTTTCGGAGGGAACGGGCTTCGCTAATCCGGGGGTTTTATTATTCCTGACTTAACATTAATGTAATCATCATGTAGCATGTATGTCAGTATGTACAGTAAGACTAAACGTCAACGTCGGTCGTTCTTCGCCATGGATATCCTATATTCCAGTGAGCCTACAGCCATGGAGCACCATTTTACAACAGCTACAGTAAGTTGTTGAACATATATAACTCCAAATTCGATATGGTTTGTACAACTAGTTATATCCAAGGTTTTGACTGAGTTGTTGTTCTTAGATATTCATAGGTTTTAGCTGTTTTGTTTTTGTTTTATATATATATATGTGTGTGTGTACAGTTACAATGGGGGGACCCCCAGTCGTCATAAGCTGGTCTTTAATTCCCATGAATAACTATAATTATAAGTTGGTTGTAAGTATCATAAGCCATAGTGAAATGAGAGTTTAGTTCACCAACATAGCTATCATAAATCAGCTATAATCCCATGTGTTTGTTCATTGTTTTCTTGGTTAGGTTATTATATTCCAACGGTTTGTGCAGTAAGCCCATTGATATCCCCATTTGTGTTATAAATTTCCATGAATTATCCTAAAATCCCATCAAAATTCAAGTAATCCTATATGGTTTCTCCCATTTTCCCATGATATTCCCATGGTTTCGCCATGGATCTCCTGACGCTGTAGGTCTCCGAGGAGCTCTCAGAGATTATGCGCAACTCGCAGCGCTCGCAGCACTCACAACATTCCAACCCAGTGCCTCGCAAGGAGGTGTGAATAGTTACCATAGTTTTTGAGTACTAATAGTGTAGTAATACCATAGTACTAATTGTTTCAATAGTTAACCAGTGTTAATAGTTGTTCATACCATAATAACGACCATAGTACTAATAGTTTGATTAATACCGTAGTGTTTTAATCATGGGATGAATGATACAATAGTTATGAAACAACTACCATTATTCAAAACTATGGTAATACTGTAGTTACGTAATACCATGAAACCGTACTTAGTTCCATTACGGTTGAATAATACTATAGTTGTTCATTAATACCATAGTTGTGAATTAGTAACACCATGAAACCGTACTAATATTTTCCCAGTGTGTTGAATTTAGATCGAGGAAGGTATCACAATAACTATGGCTAAGATTAATAACTAGTGGATAACTTCATTTCAAATAACTTTATGATGGTTATACTGGTCATATTAGCCCATTATTCCCAATTTAGTAAGGAAGCCTTCTTTAATCAATTCCTTTTTTCATTAAGGAAATTTACTTAAATTAAGGATAAGTTAATTTGATAACGGTGGTTTATGGTGCTTGAAATTTTATAGTTAATGATGATTATCATAGTTAAACTAACAATCATCACATAGTTAATGAGGCATTTTTACAGCTTTATGGTACAATTGTTTATAAAAAGGATCCTAATGGGAAATAATGGAATAGTGTTTCTCGAAATGATACCCTCTGGTAAACTAACATAGCTATTGAAAATGGCAATTTATAGTGGATTTACCCATTAAAAATAGTGCTTTTCCATAGCTATGTTAGTTTACCAGAGGGTGATGGGATCTTTGTAAATTTGAACTATAACCGGGGTATATATGGTGGATGATCATCGGGATGAATTGTATTTTTTTTCTGGACCTTACTGCGACCGAAATCTGAAAAAATGAGGAACATATCATATTAAACGACAATGGTCTTAATTACCTTCTTACGATGAATAACGGAAGATAACCCAAAACAAAAGAATGAGGAATGTTTTCTTATTGCGACAATGTATTTTCCCTTATTTAAGGATTTTAAATGACTTCTTCGTTTTTGTTATGGCATGTTTTTTTTTTGGGGGGGTCGCGCAGGAGTTTTATTTTAGATTTTTCCGAACATGTTTATGTCTTTTTCGAACAAACAGTTTTTTTCTTGTAATTTGTTAGTTTGTTTCATTCTTTTAATTTGAATTTAAACGACAAAATTAGTAATCCCTTCCTCCTAATACTAAACGCCCCCCCCTATTACTAAACACGGCAGGTAGTTTTTAGTATTAGGGTGGTATTTATTATTAGGGAACCTTAATAATAAAAACTAGTTTTTCCGATCTCAAAATCAATTAAATTTCTTTTTTTAACGCGATCAAAATATTCCCAAAAACTGGATTTCGAAGCTTCCCCCTAATATTAAACTAAAACCCTTAAAAATAATTATTCGTTTTTCCGATCTCAAAATCAATTAAATTTCTTTATATAACGCAATTAAGATATTGCCAAAAATTTGATTTCGAAGCTGCCCCCTAATATTAAATCAAAACCCTTAATAATAAAAACTATTTTGTCCGATCTCGAAATAAATTAAATTTCTCGATATAAGGCGATTAAAATATTGCCAAAAATTGAATTTCGATGCTTCCCCCTAATTTTAAATTAAAACCCTTAATAATAAAAACTATTTTTTCCGAGCGCAAAATCATTTAAATTTCTTTATTATAACGCAATAAAGATATTGCCAAAAATTGGATTTCGAAGCTGCCCACTAATATTAAATTAAAACCCTTAAAAATAATTATTCGTTTTTCCGATCTCAAAATCAATTAGATTTCTTTATATAACGCAATTAAGATATTGCCAAAAATTGGATTTCGAAGTTTCCCCCTAATATTAAATTAAAACCTTTAATAATAAAAACTATTTTTTCCGATCTCAAAATCAATTAAATTTCTTTGTATAACGCGATCAAAATATTGCCAAAAATTGAATTTCGAAGCTGCCCCCTCATTTTAAATTAAAACCCTTAATAATAAAAACTAGTTTTTCCGATCTCAAAATCAATTCAATTTTCTTTTTATAACGCGATCAAAATATTCCCAAAAACTGGATTTCGAAGTTTCCCCCTAATACTAAATTAAAAACCTTAATATAAAAAACTAAAAAAATCGGACGGACCCTAATAATAAATACCCCGGGGTCGACTGGTTTTTAGTATTAGGGGGAAAACCCACAAATGATAGCTTGATTTTCAATTTGTTTTCTAAAGGGGATCAACTAAAAGTCAAATTGGCCAATCTGAAATTTTCAAAAATTGGAGATGGACACTAGTTTTTAGTATTTGGGCGGGGTTTAGTATTAGGAGGAAGGGATTAATCTAAAACCAACAAACAAGTTTATTAGTTCGCTTTATCCTCCGAAAAAAATATTAGAGGTGTGCCCTAGCTAGCACTAGATCAAGAACAAACATCGCTCATGACTGAAATACCGAAGAAAAATGCTGAGAACATACATATCCCATTCCATGATGTAAACAAAAAATCCTTAAATTCAAGTTACCTTCCTTTAACAGGGCAACCTTCTTTTTTGAAGGAAAACATCTTATAACCTTAACCTTACTTAATTTGGAAAGGTGTCTTTAATTCAGCAAAGTTTTCCGTTGAATAAGGTATAATTATTTGCCCTTGTCTACTATAACTGGGATGAAATAAGTCCTACTAAGGGTATATATCATGAAATAGACCATTTGCAGCTCTTAAGGGATCTAACTGAATTTTCCTTACCACCGGGTAATTTAACAGTTTGCTTTTGAAAATGGCCCATAGAAATAGTTTAGTTACCTATTGATGGTGATTTTCCACTTTGCAAACTGTTAGTTTACCAGAGGGTAAATCTCCATGAATCCCCATGAAAATCATCATTTATGATCATTATTGACCTCTATTGACCGCTATCAACCACTATCCATCTCCACTGGTTGATTAATGGTTAAACCACCAATATTTTTCACTATGATCTCCTTACTTTTGATAATATATATATAGATTTACTATCCATCTCGGTGTCATTATTCATCTCCATCATTAAATATTTTCCGAACTCATCACTCTTCCATCCGAACTCATCACTCTTCCAGTACCCAGGCGCAGCTCAACGAGGCACAGCTCAGCGTGCCGAGCCCCGAGCGCAACCTTGCGAGCAGCGAGGCGAGGGAATGGCAATCGACAGGAATCGCTTTGGATGGGTGGGTGTATATATATATATATATGTACATATATATATATATATATATACATACATTATTTATATATCATGTATATGTATATAAATGTGTGGGTATGGATGGATGGATGGATGGATGGATGGATGGATGGATGGATGTGATTAATGTTATGTTATGTTTTGTTTTGTTATGTTATATTATGATGTGTTATGTTATTTATGTAATGTATGTAATGTATGTAATGTAATGTAATGTAATGTAACGTAATGTAATGAAATGTAATGTATGTATGTGTATATATATAAGTGTGTGAATATATATATATATATATCATATATTGAAGATAATGTATTTGTTTTATATATAAATGTGTGTGTATGTATGTAATGTAGTGCAATGTAATGTAACGTAACGTAATGTAATGTAATGTAATGGTATGGTATGTTATGGTATGGTATGTATGTATGTATGTAATTAATGTTATGTTACGTTACGTTATGTTATGTTATGTTTTGTTATGTTATGTTATGTTATGGTATGTATGTATGTATTTATGTATGTAATGTATGTAATGTATGTAATGTATGTAATGTATGTAATGTATGTAGTGTAATGTAATGTAACGTAACGTAACGTAACGTAATGTAATGTATGTATATATATATATATATATTTAATTATATATATATATACATATGTGAGCATATATATCATATATTGAATATATTGTGTGTGTTTTAAATGTTTTGGTTGAAATGTTAGTCTCTGTTATGTTTGAAATTATCTGATTATTGAATAGCGTTTTTTTTATTGCAATGGGTTTACCACATTATGTTTGCATTGTGGTAGGTTAGGGCTAGGGTTGGGTGGTTTTTTGGCTGACTTCAGTTTGACATAGTAATACACTTTAGACTAGGTCACTATTGCGAAGAATCTGATGCCTAATGTTGATAAAGATGATGGCTTGAAGGGTACTTAGTATTTGGAAAAAAAAAAGAAACATTTCATTCGGTGACAGCATTGAAAGTTATATAGTTGGTTCACAGGACGTGTATAGTTGGCAGGTCTTTTTTGGAACTGGTGGTTGTGGTTCAGATGTCGTGGAAATTCGCATGTTTCCCTTGTAAGATTGTTGAACAAAGTCCAGAGTTGTTTGCAAAGCATGTGCATATCTCATTTGTGGTCGGCCATATTTCACCCCTGTTTGCGTTGTGATTTCCGCAAGCCAGGACACGGCGCGTGTGACACGGTTTGCATCGTTAAAGTGGTAGTAACAAATCACCAAACTAATGTACCGCTATTTGAAGTAGTAATGTGTGTGTTTTCCATTTTTTGGGGGTTGCTATAGTTGATGAGTCTGGTCTCCAGTGAATGCGTCTGGTCATTCTTGAAGTCTTGAAATCATTCATGAAGGGCAAGTGGCTTTGACCCATGCTCAATGGGAATTCCAGGATCCTAAAATGGAGGTACTGTACCATATAAGGCCATATTTTGGGGGTATATCCTCTTACATAGGCTTTATATATGGTAGGTACCTCCAATTTAGGATCCTGAAATGGCCATTGACATGCTCACATTTCCCGTGGACTTGTGGGAACGTCGGGGGATGCCGCAATCATCGAGATTTTTGGGGTCCCCATTTTCAGACAACCCTCGCTGGATCTTTTCTGTGTTTGTGTTTTTTGTCCAGATGCATTGGGTTACTACACATGTCGGGCCCCGCAGTTGTAAGTTTGTTTATAAACTATAAACCCCATTACATATTGCAGTAACTATTGTTTGAAGTATCCTAAATCATAGTTATGGGAGTTACTCGTATGTTCACCAACTTAGATATCGTTTGGGGGCCAAATTTGCAGGTGGTTCAAGACTCGTGTCCAGACAAGTCGGCAAAGGTTCTGGGATGTCCAATGGCATTTCAGCTGGTAACGACAGCAATTCCCGCAAATTGCAAAGTGTTTCTTGCATGGTTTCCTTTGTTTTCTGTTGGAACGTATTCTTTTGATCCATCACACATGTTGCTTTTGCATGGCGGGGAAACCGAAAACTATGCCGTGACCTGAGGTTCGCAAATGTACCCATTTTCTGTCACTATGGGAGTCTACTCAATCTACTCAAATTCATTTTGGTATTAATTTTGATGAATTTTGAAGGCTCTCCGTTTCATAAACTACAGTAGCGGTTGTCCGATGCATTCCATACTTACACTTACAGACTGTGCAGTTTTAAAATGTTTAAGTACACCAAAGAAAACATAGTATACCTAGACCCTCAATTGACCCACTGAGCTTGGCATTTGACCCCATTAATTACATTTTAATTGGGAGTCAACTGAGGGTGAAGGTGTGTAATATTTATGACAATATCATATAATATAATACAATATAATAAAATACAATATTTTACAATATTATACAATATTATATAATACAATACAATATAATATTTTATTTAATATATAATATACAATATATAATAATATATATATATAATCATTTTTATATAGTTATTATATAATTATACAGTTCCCTAGTTGCCCTTCCGGTCGCCATAAGCCACAAAGTTTCAATTGAAACCGAAACATTGCGCTTCTTCAACCCTGATGCAAAAACTTCAAGGAATGAACCTAAACACAGTCCCAAAAATGGGACCGCCTGGCGGTCCCATTTTCGGGACCGCATGCGCAGCTCAGTAAAAGAACACAAGAAAAGCATTTTCACGGTCCCATTTTTGGGACCGTCAATCGCAAAATCAACAGCAAAGGCCGACCCGTGCAACAAGAAAAAATACCACTGCGCTTATTTAAGCAACAAGCATATAGATTTGGAACAGAGGAGGCCCGCACACGCGAAGCCTGATTTCAATTGACTTGTCGGGCCCAAAAATGGAACCTGAAAGCTCACATGTGGTATCAGCTGTCTCCATTCACTGGCTCCAATGTGGCGATTGCGATGCAGCACCACCCAGGCAACATTCACCAATCCTTGGCTACTCCGCGCTACTCCGCTACTCCGTGCTATGTTTTAATTCAATCACCTAATGTACTTGACGCGATATCGAAACGATGACGGAGTAAGAAAGCCTTCAATATTTCACCTTCCCACATCTTTCCATAAGCAGATTCTTATGCCATCCCGTTTCAAATTTATACTAGTAATTTAATAACGGGATTGATTGAAAAGATCATGATTCATCTTTTTTCCGGGCTGAAGACTTCAGTAGAAGTTCAGAGGGGCAAGGAAGGCCAACAAAGGGGCAGTAAAGTATTCAATACAATCATTCAAATGGAAGCCGGCCACCTGCGCGAAAACCCACAAACTCCGCAACAACAAGAAAACTCAAGCAATCACCTAACGCTGCAAAAGGCTGATGGGCTTTCTTTTAGCAGCAAACAATCAAGCCACCAGACGAAACGAAATAATAAGAAGCTAACTTCAACTGGGTTCAAGCAGCAACAAAAAAACAAAATCATCTACGAAACAGCTCGCTCCGACGGACCCAATTCTGGGTCCGGAAAACTCTCAAAACTGGCTTCGCTCAAAAGGGTTTCCCCAGTATTTATTTGTATTTAGTTATTTATATACATATATACATATATATATATACATATATATTTAGTTATTTATATACATATATACATTTATATATAGATTTACATTCTGTCAAAATCCATAGAATGTAGCCAGCTTGACCGACTACATCCATGTTGTGAAGTCGAACCTAGGTGAGACTGAGAGCGCGGAAAGGAACCTTGACTGGACATGGGGGGCATGGCTGGGTTCTTTAAGCGCTACTTGCTGGATTTGGGAAGAAAACTCTGGCTCGATCGTGGATGGATACTTTGGTATATACTGGTTGGTGGTTTGGAACATGCATTTTCTTTTTCGTACATTAGGAATTTCATAATCCCAACTGACTAATATTTTTCAGAAGGGTTGAAACCACCAACCAGCATCGCTTTCTCTAAATGGGGACATTCGCTAACCAGCCATGAGAAAAGCAGTGCAATTATCTAAGATTGGCGATGCTGCGGTTGGTTTCACCAGCAGCTGGTACTATCCGGGAGTCTTTTTAAGGAGCGTTGCTACATTTCCATCAGAAAACCTACTTATGAGAGTTGCAAACCAACTTAGCCAAGGGGGCAGCACCTTGCAGTGTTCCAGTTTAACTTTCTCCAGTTGATTTCTTACAAAACATTTGAGTAAAAATGTGTTTGTCAGCATAGACTCTTCATTTATTTTATGGTTCGCTATTATTGTTGCTTTTACTTCCCATCCTTAGTAAAATCCATTAAATCAACATATGTCCTTTCAATAATCTTATCCTCATTAAATTCCAATCAATTCATTTTAAACCACCATGGTGAATTCACACTAAATCACAGTGCCTTCAATAATCCCTTTCTTATAAAAAGTCACATGCCTAAATCCCATTAAAATTCATCAACCTCCACAAAATCCCAACACATGTACGGTTGAAGTTCGATTCATTCCCTGTTTTTTTTCCATAGTTAAGCGTATAAATCCGTTTACAGATATTTAAATTGTATTAAATTCATATTTAAATTCCCAAAGACTTGATGGTTCCATCCCCATGAAATCTCTGGAAAATCTCATGGAAAATTCAACGACATCCCTAAGAGGTTAGATGAAATCCCCGCACTTCTCCATGGTTGAAGTCCATCTAGTTCTAGTTTTAACACCCCAAAAGTTGATGGTGAAATCTCCCAGATGTCCAGCGTGGATTATTCTACAATAACTATAGTTGTTACCCTCTGGTAAACTAACAGTTTGCTATTAAAAGTGGCCATGTATAGTTTATTTACCCATTCAAAATGGTGATTTTCCATAGTTATGTTAGTTTACCAGGGCGTAAAATCCCACATGTTCCTTCCCAACCTTGGATGGGTAGGTCTTCATCCTTGAGTTGTTTGCTATAAATGGCCAACTAGCAGAGGATGATATGTTTTTCTGGACTACCAAAGATTGACCATTTTTTCTCTATTCAATAAGATAAAGATATCTTATATATCAATTTCATATTGCATCCATTGGTTAGATATGTAACTATGTCGAGTTTTTTGTGCATATATATATCGATAGGGTTGTATACAATGACGAATCTATTCGTGTTGTTTTGGTTGAATTATATACCATGTCACTATTATCAGTATTTTGAAGTAGGGCTTATGTATGATGCTTAATGCTAGATATATCTGTAATTAATAAGAGTTGTACACCATCTTGCCATAGTCAAAACCTTAGGGTTTAAATCCAAAAACAGTTGATGGTTGAATCCCAGAATTTCCGCAGTTGATGCTTCTACAATAACGGTAGTCTTGCTGTTTAAAAAAAAACATGTTCCCATACGTAATAACTATAATTATTGTAGAATCCATAGCTCGTGTAATTAACTTTAAAGTATCGATATCTATAGTGATCCCATAGTCAACTATAATACAGTACTAATAGGATGACTATAGATATAGTACCAACATTATCCTATAGCTACTTGGTGGAGCAGCCCATGAATCATAAGTGGGTTAGTAAAACCCCCATGGTGAAATAAGTGGATTAAATCTACTTCTCCCATGCAAATCACGTGGGTTTGTACCAAGTCACGAACACGATTCGTCAGAGCCACCAAGAAGCTATGAGGGATGTGGGTGTATATATATATATAGTGATCCTATAGTTCTGGGATCGATATAACCACATTCCATGGGATTATAGTCTATAGGCCATTAACTATGGGTATGGGATGGGGTATCATTATTATAGTTAATTAATGTAAATTATCCATGGGTATCCTATAGATTCTCCCATAGGTCAATATACCCACATTATTATTATATTGACCTATAGTTAACTATCATTATCATAGTTAACACTATCATTATAGCTAACTATCACCATTAGATAGTGTTAACTAGAATAATAATGATATATCATTATCATTTTAAATATAGCATTATAATGAAGTAGTGAAGCCAAAAAGTGTGATAGTTAACTAGATAGAGATGAACAAGTTCACTATAAGATATCCCCACATCCCTAGTTGGTCCCCCGTTACCGAGGCCATGCTGCGTCCTTGTTGGAACTGGTGCTGCCATCCGGGCCTAGCCTGGTGGACCCTGCCGCAGCAGCCTCCATGGAAGACCTGGAAGGGTACACGGCGCGCGGAACCGGTGGTGAAACCAACGGGGGACCCGGGAAAATCATGGGAAATTCGTGTTTTTTCAGCAGTTTTTGAATGTTTTTGTGAGAGATGGAGGATGGAATGACTTGAATGATGTTCATGGATTTTGGATGATTTTGGTGCCCTATAAATCGCTAAATCGCTGAGTTGGTTCTTAACTAGAGTAGTTTACGTTCTGGTTCTTTGCTATTAATGTGGGTAAGACGATAGTAAACTATCTTCCAAATCAACATTTTTATAGGGGTATAAACCATTCCCAAATGGATGGTTTATGGAATTGTTTTACCCGCATTATACCGGTAGTTCGTTGCGGTTATGGGCACCAACTTTTACCTTGGCACCACCTTGTAGGGTCTATCGATTTCGATTTGGGATTTGAGATTACTGTTTTTGCAGCGTTGGGGAAACACGTGTAAATGGCATGTCGGCATGTCCGATCGATATAATACCGATATGTTTATCTATAGTTGAATGGAACATATTCCAACAGTTTCCAGCTAAAGAGGGGGTTCTTACTTTGTAGGTGGTGCATGTTATAGACTTCGCTGACTTATCACTATCTCGCTGGCTGTCACCATGCATAGGGGATGAAGGGATATGATCATCACAAAAGGATATTCAATGTGTGCCCCCCGAGTCATAAGTCGGTTTCAAAACCCCAAAAACTAACTCAGTGTGGGAAACCCAGGCTGGTTTTGAAACCCAATTAAGTATAAACATAGTTGTTACTTAAGATACAAGTACCATAAACCATAGTGAAATTGGAGTTATGTTCACCAAGGATTTCGTAGGCCCTTTTGGGCCCCACGCTTGGGGATGACCACTGGGAACAACCACCATTCGACGAGAGTCGGTTGTCTCGGTTGTCGCGCCTTGCTTGGGGCCATGGTGGCCATTGTCTTTTTCAATGGGGGTAAATCCCCATTTTTTCGCCAAAGCGTACCCAAATGTTGATGTAGATACAACCAAAATGGTGTTGCTAGGCTGCAGTCAAATCACCCCATCTTTGAGCCCAGTTGAACTTCACTCGTCCCTGGTCCTTATCATAAATACATAGTAGTACCCAGTCAGTTTGGGTTCTTTGTCAGTTTCCTAATTGATACCCCCCGTTATCTCAAAGGTAAGCAAAGATAACCAGTGATACACCTCCATATTCCCATTGTATATCCCATGACTCATACCTACCACTATTGTTGGTTAAAACCTTTTCTTCTAACGTGGATTTCCATTTGGATAGCCTTTTTTTTATCATTTGTTTTTGTCACCCCTTCAACTAGGTTACCCCTCATCAACGCGACATGACTTTAGAATGCAGGGTTGTTGATGATTCTTGATCATAGACTCCCCATTCGATTCAGTTTCCCCATTGGTATAGTAACTTTAAAAACTTGGGTGCAGTTGGGTTTCTTAACGTATACAACTGGCTCAACTTTTCACGCGCAAAAAGTGCTTCGAAAGTCTGGAAGATTCCTGAGATCTGCCATGGATCGACGATTGCCTTGGTTTCACGC